CTCACAACCAACCAATTTTATCAATGATCTATCTGTAAATGGATGTTCAAACAATCCAGCAACAAATTTGACTCTCAAGATTCTTTCAACTGCATCATCTATCCTGGCCATCGATATCTCCCCAGATTTGACCAGTGATAGCAGCTCCTCTAAGAATAATTCATATCTAAATGGCACCATCACCTGTAATATTCACAAGATGCAAACAGAAAGTTTGAATTAGGCTAAACAGCTGCAAATTTTGGCTTCAAACACTATGTTTTGATCCTACCATATCAATTCCAGCATTTATGGTTGACTTGATTGATTGACGATAATCTGATCCATGAGGGTCAGTAAGCCGGTCAAGCGCTTCCCAGTCTGTAATCACGAGACCCTGCACCAGAATATTGCTTTTATCATATAACAAAGCTTCTCCGCATTTCACAGGAGTATAATTGTCGCCCCATTAGAACAAAATAACTAAACAAGAACAGAGGTGCTCTTAGAAAAAGACACAGCAGAAGCTAAAGAGGGAAAAATCAAACGCCCCCCTCCCCCCAGAAGAAAAAAATAAAAGAAAGTGTACAAGCAAAGAGAATAAAAGAATAGGAACAAAGTGATTTGTCATGTTAATTATCAAACTTAGTCCAAATAAAGAAGTCATTTTATAGTTCTTTTTTTCAGGGATGCATGTGAAAGTTCGGAAGAACATATATTTCTGCTCTTTTAATTCAGGAAGTTCAAATCTTTTTACCTTGAATCCAAGCTTATCTTTCAAGACCTCTGTCAAAAGATAGCGATGAGTGTGCATTTTGTCGCCATTCCAGCTGGAGTAGGATGCCATAACAGTGCAAACTCCTTGGGCGATACAGTCTATATATGGTGCTAGGTGGATATTGAACATTTCATCATGCGATGCTATTGTATTTCCTTCGTTTGTACCATTCTCAGTTGCCCCATCACCTACGAAATGCTTTGCAGATGCCATGACATAATTTCTGAAATCAAGAAACTAGTGTCAACATTTCTGTATTTGGTTGTAGAAGTAGCATAAATGAGAGATAGATAGAGGAAGATAAGAGGTGCAGAATTCTAAATAAAGTAATCTATGAGGTAAATGTTATATTAGGATATCATAAATACTTAGTTACCAAAGTAAGATATGGACAACATCATTATATGAAGACAGATCAATCGTCCATTCTGTACTTGTTAGGATTCTAACACTTATGAAAACGTTGCTTGCAACTAGCTGTCTACATTACAGTTTGATGTAAATCATTCTACAAAAACTAAAGCACTTCCAACTGAAGCATGTTTTGACAGGAGAATAATCCTGGCTTTAACTATGCAAGATGACAAGTTTTGAATAAATGAAATTATAGTGCTCATCATTATCTCTACCTTCCTGCAACATAAGGATAGCCATTTGGATGTCCTTCTGGTGGCTGACCTTGCAATCCCGTAACAAGAGAGGTCATTTTTCTGACAACTTCAGTATCTTCACTGTAACTCTCGTAAAATCTTCCCCATCTAGGGTCTTTGGCGACCTGCCATAATTCAGTTGGATCATATATTTTTGGATTCGGTTAAATGCCAATACAGAAGAAACTGCAAGAAGACACTAGAATTTCCTTTTAGGTAACAAAAATCTAACAACTTATTTTCTTAACTTGCATATCTAACAGTATTGAAAAGTCTTACTTCAAGAGGAATATTGATAGTTAAGACATCTATGACTCATGAGCAAGACTATGTTCTGGAGACTGTAGTATCAGTTCTCCTAATGAATAATATCCAGATAGACAATTAAGTTAAGAAACATTTAAAAGTTAATTAGAAAATCAACCAGTAATAAATCCTCATTAGCAGGTGTAAATGTTGGAACAGGAAATAAAATATGCTTGCTTTGCATTTATGTCAAGAAAAACACAAAATTTTTCTCAAGATATCTACTTCGTTAATAATAGCAAGTGGGAGGAATATTTTGTAACTCAAAGGGGTTCTTAGTCAAGGCAAATTTATACCAACAAGCATCAAATTTAGTCATCTTTCCCAAAAGTAGCAATATTAAAGTTGAAAAACAAAGGAAAATTTTCTTTTTGGACTTACAGCAACACAAGGAGCAAAAGCATATTGAGCTCCACATGCCCTGGTTTCAAGAGCTGTCACAACTCCTATCCTTCTGACTAGATCAGCATCTCTGCGAAATATACACCTTTATTATCAGCCTTTCTAAAACACGAAACCCACTTCAATACACTACTCCTTTTACTAGTACCGCTTCACAAATATACGCGCAAAGGCAGATTCAAGATTTTAAGTCCGTGCTAGCCCATCATATAGTAATTGATATAAACAAAGAATAGATAATGGTACGAATCACAGCACCTAGAGCAATATCACTAGGCCAATAGAATAATCAAGGTGCTCAAGCTGACCCGAACACCATGATAAATAAATAAACTTTAATTGTCTATTCAACTATAAGTATAGAGTTCAACCTCAAGAAACTCAAGTACCAGGGGTGGAGTTTTTGTTCATAACATGTACTTCATTTGTCTTAAGACACTCAACTACCTACACTACACATACAAGTGCATCCTGTAACTAACCTGGTGGCTCCAAGTCCAATGTTGTGAGGAAAAATAGTGGCACCCCAAACATTATTATTCCCATGAATAGCATCTGTCCCATAGAAAATGGGAATGCCAAGACTGGTCTCAACTGCACCTTTTTGAAACTCATCAATCATGTCAGCCCAATCACTTGACTCTGCATTTTCAAATGGTCTACTCCCACCTCCACTCAATACACTCCCTGCAAATTTCATAACTAATTCAATAATAGAAAGCCAAAAAAACAAAAAAAGAGATAAAGGGGTTAATGAATTTTACCAATATAACGATCTCTAATAGTAGAATGATTAGCAACAGCTCGTTCGATCTGGGTCATTTGACCAATCTTTTCTTCAAGTGTCATTCTTGATAAAAGATCTTTGACTCTTTCTTCAACTTGTGCATTAGGATCTTTGTAAACACAATCCATAATTGAAGATGAAGAATCAAGAGATCTTAATAATAAGTACTCTACTTAGATAGCCAGATAGATTTTACAAAAAAAATAGTTGGAGGAATTGGACAAGGGGCTAAGGTTTCTATTTATACTTACTATAATAGGATACGACGGGGACGATTTTATTTTATTTTATAATTAAAGGAAAAAAGATGAAGAGATAGTGGTAAGTGGGTCCCGCTATTGAAGCTGACGAGGCTCGTACACTTGTATGATGTTTGATTGGATAAATTTTTTAAAGGTTCACTTAATTCCACTTATGTGAAATTAAAAAATTTCTACTTACTTTTGGCACCATAATAGTATATACTCTAGCTATGATATAAACTTAATAGTTTCCCTATATTTATCATTCCTACCACTTGGGTAAATGTAATTTCTTTTCCTTTTTTATAAATCTGCATTAAAAATATTTATTGGCGATACAAACTTGAATCATGTTCCATAATAACACATATTCTAGAGGGATGGCCAAAGACATTTGTTCCAAAATCAGATGAAATTTGTTTCTGAAATTTTCTTTTTTTAGGTGTTGTGAAAATTTTCAAAAAGGGTTTTGAAATGAATTCTTTAAATCAAATGTCATTATAAGAAATTATTCAATGAGCAGTTTTTACATATGATAAATAGATTTTTCTAATGACTTTTGGTTGAATATTTTTAAATATTGACAAGTTTCTTTTAAAGCTTGTCATGATAAAAATTGTATAATGAACTCCTTGATTCAATAAGAAGAATAAAATTTCATAAAATTATGGAATTACCTTTTAATAAAAATAGTACACGATTTTTTTTTTGGATAATAAACCGTGAATATTACCATAACAACCAAAAAGCTTTACAAACTAAGAGCATCTAGTTTCCAAACCACCTTCTAGGAAGGGTGCTCAGAATACTAAGACCTCATAAAGACAACTCCCCATCTATGTAATCTAATTACAGAGCCTATTAATCAAAACTTGACAGTTCCTAGCTCTTCTAGAGCCTGTAGAATTGCTAATTCTCTCCCTAAGTTCTTTTTGAATCTGTAAAACTATAAACTCACTATTTACATTTAATTTCCTGAATATCTTCCGATTCCTAGCTTGCCATGTATAGTAAATTATGGCTCCATAAACAGCAGCACCAACTTCTTTTCTGAATTGCCTCTATCGTCTGTTTCTAATCCATTGCAGGGTGCTTCTAGCAGACTTATGTGGGAGAGAGATACCAGTTAATGTAGCCAGTTTTTTCTTTACTTTAGTGACCCATTCACATTCAGCAAAAAGGTGCAGCTTGTTGACAATATTGGGCCTCAACCACCTTAGCATTTGGTTTGAAGACATACCCGGCCCATTTGTATAGTGACTGGCCCAATTGTATTAAGTGACCCAACTACTTTCATTTTTGATATATCAGTCATGTAACTAGAAGTTTCCAATAATAAAAAATAAGAGAATTCATTTTCTTTCTTCAGATATTTTTGCGCTTCTCTTTCTCTCTCTTCTCTCAGATTAGGTCTCCATATCTGTCTCAATTTTTGTCGATTATGGCTTAATCTCTCTACATTAACATGGTATCAGAGCCTAGAATCGATCGATTCTGGCTCCGCTCTACAGATTGATGGTAATTTTGTGAAATTTCATCACAATCTCCGCAACAATTTTTTTGGGTTCGATTTTGTTGAGCGATTTAGTCTCGCTACATGCTGTTGGTTCGAGATGTACCTCCGGTCTATCGATTGAGGTACAATCGTTGGTGGTTCGAGATTTACGTTTTCTGGTGGTCTGAGGTCTACTTCGATGTATATCGCTGTGTTTTTGGGTTAATTTCAAGGCCTTACTTCTTTAGGTTGCAAAGAAGGACGGTAATCCCTTTCATTAACCTTTGATTCACGGCCAGTGTTGACAAATTCTGTTAGCCATTTACATTTTGTGAAATATTCCCAATTAGGGTTCTTCACCATGAGTAGTCCTGATATTAGCTCAAGTTCTACTACTGATGGGTTTGATGACTTTACTGTTCCCCCTTCCCATCCATTTTATGTTCATCCCTCGGATAGTCCAGGTACTCACCTGGTATCCCCACCTTTCGATGGTAGTGGTTTTGTTATTTGGCATAAAAACATGTTGACTGCATTGTCTGCTAAAAACAAATTAGGTCTTATAACTGGTAGAGTCCCAAAGCCTCAATTTCATTCTCCATATTATCAGTTCTGGGAACGATGTAAGGACATGTTCATTGCATGGATCACTAACTCATTGTCTAGAGATATAGCCAATAGTGTGATGTGTTTTGATAATGCCAAGGATATGTGGGCTGATATTAATGAAAGGTTTGGTACCTCAAATGGCTCCAAGTACATTCAAATTCAAAGGGAAATCAGTGCTACATCTCAGGGGTCTTTAGATATTGCCACTTATTTCACCAAACTAAGGGGTCTCTGGGATGAACTTAGTACTGCATATGTAGGACCAGTTTGTTCTTGTGGAGCTTTGCCTAAATTCATTGAAGAACAGAAAATCTATCAATTCCTTAGTGGGTTAAACGAGTCCTACTCTACATGCAAAAGCAATATTCTGATGATGCCATCTCTCCCTTCTTTGAGCAAAGCCTATTCCATGCTTCAACATGATGAGAAACAAAAGGAAACTTCTGCTCCTCTTCCCAACTTCTCTAATGATTCTGCTTCTTTCAATGTTTCAACTGGGCATATGAATAATCATAGGGTTTTTCATCAAAGGGTACAGTTTGACTCAAAAAGAGGTTCTACTTCCACCTCAAATCTTTCTTGTAAGTATTGTAAGAAGTCTGGGCACACTGTTGATAAGTGCTACAAGCTTCATGGGTTTCCCCCTGACTTCAAATTTACCAAGAATAAGAGGTCTGCTACATGTGTTCAGTCTGAGGGTATTCTTCCAGACTCTGTTCCTTCCAGCCATGGCTCTTCTGAAGTTCCTAGTCATGGGTTTAGTAAAGAACAGTATCAGCACCTTATGAATTTGTTCCAGCAAGTTCACACCTCTCCTGTCTTCCACCATGAGACTAATACTGTTGACAATATTAGTTTTGCAAATTTTGCAGGTGTGCACAATCACCCTGAAGTACATTCTAGTTCTTTTCATGCATGTGCTGTTTCAACTTTAGGCTTAAACCCTTGGATCATAGATTCTGGTGCCACCAATCACATGACACCACATAAACATCTTCTACACAATATTCAGCCATTAGTTTCTCCTTTTCTGATAACTTTGCCAAATGGATATAAAGTTAAAGTTATATCTACTGGATCTTTAGTTCTTAGAACAGATATGATATTACATAATGTTCTTTTAGTTCCTTCTTTTCTTTTCAACTTGATTTCTATGCACATGCTGCTTCTTCAATTTCAATGTCTTGCAGTCTTCAGCACTTCTATTTGTATTTTACAGGGCCTTTCTCTGAGGAGGCCTTTGGAAATTGGTAAGGCTGCAAATGGACTGTACTTCTTACATTCAGCTGATCCACAACTCCCTACTCCTATTCCTTGCTGTATTTCTAATTCTGTTCATAGTGATATTTCTGCTCTTGTTTTCAATTCTTCTGAACCTTCTGTAATTCATAGTTCCACTTGTAGTCCACCTACTGTTGCTAATAAAAGTGATTTGTTTTGGCATCAAAGGTTGGGTCATATTCCTTTTGCTAGAATGAAATCTATTTCTTTCTTGTCTGATAAACTTTCATCTAAGCAACCATTCTTGTGCACTGTTTGTCCTATGGCCAGACAACAGAGATTACCATTTCATGATAGTAGTATTCATTCATCTGTTCCTTTTTAACTTGTTCACATTGATATTTGGGGTCCCTACAATACCTCTACTTACAATGGTTTTAGATATTTTCTGACTCTAGTTGATGATTTTACTAGAGTGACTTGGACTCATCTTTTGTCTTGTAAAAGTAATGCCCTTTCAATCCTTAAAGCTTTCCTCCGACTGGTCAAAGTGCAATTTAAGTCTACTATTCAATGTTTCAGGTCTGATAATGCATATGAATTAGGCAGTAGTACTGCATCTCAACAATTCTTCACTGATAATGGGATTCTTCACCAAACTACAATTCCACATACTCCACAACAAAATGGGTAGTTGAAAGAAAACACAAACACTTATTAGAAGTGTCTAGAGCCCTTCTTTTTCAGTCAAAGTTTCCCCTCAAATTTTGGGGTGAATGTGTCCTTACTGCCACATACCTTATCAATAGGTCAACTGTTTTACACAATATCTCTCCATTTGAAAAATTACATGGTACTGTTCCTACTTATGACCACTTGAAATCCTTTGGCTGTTTTTGTTATGGCGCCTGCCCTAGACCTGGTAGAGATAAATTTCAGTCCAGGTCCATTTCTGCTGTATTCTTGGGGTATCCCCGTGGTAAAAAGGGTTACAAATTATTAAATTTGTCTAATCACTCTGTCTTTTTCTCTAGGGTGTGGTTTTTCATGAGCACATATTCCCTTACCATTCTTCTTCTTCCCCTACTTTTCCTCCTCCACCTGATTTTGTTGTCCTTCCTCCTCCTTCCAATGTGCCCACTTGTTCACCTATTACTGTTGATTCTACTCTTTCCCCCACTCCCACCAATTCTATTGTTCCTTCTCCTCCTTTCCCCACCTCTTCTCAGTCTCCTTATTCTTGCCCTCTAGTTCCTGAAATTGGAAAGTCTAGCAGAACTGTTGTTCCTCCAGCTTACCTTAAAGATTATATTTGCAATTCTGTCATCCCTTCTCCTGCTCCTTTAACATCCAAGGTGTCTACTGTTGATTTGCATATGCATGAACCTCAATTTTATCAACAAGCTGTCTCTAATCCTGTTTGGCAAGAGGCCATGACTACAGAATTTTAGGCCCTTGATGCAAACCACACTTGGGATATTGTTCCTCTTCCTCCTCATAAGAAACCAATACCTTGTAAATGGGTGTATAAGATAAAACAGAAGTCCGATGGAACTATTGAAAGATATAAAGCCAGATTAGTGATTAGGGGAGACACTCAGAAAGAAGGTATAGACTATATTGAGACTTTCTCACCTGTTGTCAAACTTACCACTATTAGATGCTTACTTACTTTGGCTATTAAGAGAGGCTGGACTGTTTTCCAATTGGATGCTAATAATGCATTTTTGCATGGTGATCTACATGAGGAGGTTTACATGAAGATACATCCTGGTCTTGTAGTTTCTGCATCTTCCTCTTCCTCTCCCTTGGTTTGCAAACTCAAAAAATCACTTTATGGACTCAAGCAAACATCCAGACAATGGTTTGCAAAATTGTCTGAGTCTTTGCTCTCCAGAGGTTATACTTCCAGTAAAAATGACTATTCTCTCTTCACTAAGTCCTCTGGTTCCTCCTTGGTGGTGATTGCTGTCTATGTGGATGATATTTTATTAGCTGGTGATGATGTGGGTGAATTGAATTCTCTGAAGTCTTTGCTGGATGATACTTTCAAGATAAAGGATCTTGGGAATGTTCATTACTTCCTGGGTTTAGAGATTACTCCTCATCCACAAGGCTATCTTATGTGCCAATAGAAGTACACTTCTGACCTCCTAGCAGAATTTCATTGTGAGAATTTCATTCCTGTTTGCACCCCTTTGGATCCTAGTGTGAAATTGGTTGCTGATATGGGAGATCCCATATCTGATCCTAGCATCTATAGGAGATTGGTTGGCAAGCTAAATTTTCTTCAACACACCAGGCCTGACATTTCTTTTTCTGTTCAACATCTCAGTCAATTCTTACAAGCTCCACATGGTGCCCATATGCTAGCAGCTCTTCATGTGTTGAGATATCTCATGAATGCCCCTGGCCAGGGTATTCTCCTATCTGCCAGTGCTGATTTATCCCTTTTAGCATACTCAGATTCAGACTGGGCTGCTTGTGCTATCTCTCGAAGATCTGTATTAGGTTTTTACATCTCTCTTGGGGGCAGTCCTATTTCATGGAAGAGTAAGAAACAACCTACTATAGCACTTTCTTCCGCTGAAGCTGAATATAGGGCATTGAGAATGACTGTAACTGAGATTTCTTGGCTTGTGCGATTGCTTGGTGATCTTGGGTTAACTATTTCTGGGCCTGTATCTCTTTTCTATGACAACCAGGTAGCCTTACATATTGCCAAGAATCCTGTATTTCATGAACGCACGAAGCATATTGAAGTTGATTGGCACTTTGTCCGTGATAGTCTGCATTCAGGGCTGATTTCATTATTTTATGTCTCCAGTTCTGCTCAGCTTGCAGACATGTTGACCAAGCATCTCCCTGGTCCTCTGCATCATCACTTTCTGTGCAAGCTTGGAGTGTCCACACCCTCCAGCTTGAGGGGGGTGTTGACAATATTGGGCCTCAGCCACCTTAGCATTTGATTTGAAGACATACCCGACCCATTTGTATAGTGACTGGCCCAATTGTATTAAGTGACCCAACTACTTTCATTTTTGATATATCAGTCATGTAACTAGAAGTTTCCAATAATAAAAAATAAGAGAATTCATTTTCTTTCTTCAGATATTTTTGCGCTTCTCTTTCTCTCTCTTCTCTCAGATTAGGTCTACATATCTGTCTCAATTTTTCTCGATTATGGCTTAATCTCTCTACATTAACACAGCTGAGTTTCTGGAACTCCAAGCTCACATAAGCAGCAGTTCATGTTCCCATCAGTGAGTATATTTAGTCTCTGTAACCTTTCCTTTGTTAGCAATTTATCCTGATAAGCAAGCATAAGATTATTCGTTGTCTAGGCAACATTACAACACTCCAAACCAAGTCAGCTTCTCTCATCCTTGTCATAGCCCCAAGCATTGCATTATAGCTACATGTTACTGAATAGGTGCCATTTGGAGTTAGCTTATATGTGTCTATACTAAACCATTGTGCCATCATTTCTTTTAATGAATTCAACTTCCTCCAGTACCAACTACACTCTTGAGGTGGTTTATGTTCCCAGATGTCTCTGCAGTTCTTTATATAAACCCCATGTACCCATTTAGCCCACAACACATCCTTTTTAGGCTTACACACTTTATCCCAAGCTATCAGAGTACACGAATTTTTATATGTAATTTTCGAGTAGTTTGATTGACTAGATTTATTTATTACTGTCAGATAAAAATAAATAATGAAATCTCTTTTTATCTACTCCCTCCGTTTTAATTTATGTGAACCTGTTTGACTGGGCACGGAGTTTAAAAAAAATAAAGACTTTTGAAATTTGTGGTCCTAAACAAGTCAAAAAAGGGCCCAAAGTATTTGTGTGGTTATAAAAGCTTCTCATTAAGGGTAGAATTGTAAGTTTAAGCTAAATTGTTTTCAAATTTAGAAAGGAGTCATTCTTTTTGGAACGGACAAAAAAGAAAATAGGCTCACATAAACTGGAACGGAGGGAGTATTTATTATCGCATTTTTATTTTAAGAAGAATTTTGGGGAAAAGAGAGAGGAAAAAAAAGAAAGCAGGAAGCTCTTATAAGTTACAGTACTACAGTAATCAATAAGAAACTATTGATTAGACTGGTGAGATACAATAAAAACAACAACAAACTCAGTGTAATCTCACAAGTGGGATCTAGGGAAAGTAGTGTGTACGCATGCCATACCCCTACCTTGTGAGGATAGAGAGGTTGTTTGCGGTAGACCCTCGACTTAAGGAACATAAACAACAACCAACAATAACAACACAAGAAAAAATAAAGATACTGTGTGTAATAACAAAGATCTAAAAGTAAGAATTACAAGAATACTACTAACAAAACTGGTAAGAATGACACAATATGGGGTAACAAAGAACTAGGAGCACGAAAATGTAAGAATAGTACTCCCTTTTATATTAGATGAGGTACTTTCCTTTTTAGTCTGTTCCAAAACAAATGACACATTTCTAAATTTGGAAATAATTCAAACTTTAAACTCTTCATTTTACCCATTTACCCTTAATGAGAAGCTTCTATAGCCACATAAATGGCATGGCCCCACAAACCTTTTACCCCTTAAGCTTTTAAGACCACAAATTTCAAAAGTCTTTTTCTTTCTTCCTAAACTCCATACCGAGTTAAACTACCACATCTAATATGAAACGGAGGGAGTACTGATACTACTGGTGAGATCCACTTTCATTGAAATTGGTGACAACATGTGTTATCTGCTGTATCTCTGGCCTAATATAATTCATCCATTCACAGTAACTGCACATCTCATATCTGTTTTATGGGAAAAAATAGTTTAAGACCGCTGGTCTTAATATATATTACTACTTTACTATACTTAGATTATTTTTTTATTGGAAGAAAAAAGAGAGAGGTGAGTGGTAGTTAGAAGTAGAATGCATGATTGGTGCAACTTGTTTTCTTATAAAAGATTGGTTACTTACTATAAGAGAAAGGACGTAGTTCCGAGGCCAACTGAACTAATTGGAGCCCATGCCCGATCCCATTTTTTGCACAGTCTATTAGCTGGGAAAAACAATTATACGTATAATTTTTTAAATTGTAAAATTTCAACTTGTGACAATTATGATCCGCATTGTAAGTTTTACTACTTGCTTCCCCCATTTTGTTTGTTGTGTCAGTTTTTAAATTTTATCTCCTCATTTGGTTACTTCGTCCTATGTTTAAATATTATCCTTGGGTCAACAGACTTGTCTCGATACAAAGTTGAACATGTGGTCCCCCGCATTAAAGTTTAAGGGGATAGAATGAAATTTTACCCAATATCTTATGCTTTATTTATTGTTAAGACGACTAGTGAAGACAATTCAAAATTTCTTTGTTGAGGGCGCAATTGACCCTTTAATAATTGAATCACCATCACTGAGCATTCTGATCTATGAGTTGGAAATAACATTATTTTTGAATAGTGAAAAATATAGTCATCAGATAAATAAAAGAGTTGCCGCCCAGGGTACCAAAAGGCACTAAGGTGCGAGTGGTGGAAGCTAAGAGTGTCATCCTTATGGCGAGGGATAAACCAGTCTTGTGGCAATTTTATAATGTTTTGGCTTGCTGCATCACATAGACAACAATTTGACTACAATTAAGAAAAAACCCTAAAGTACAATTTTCTTTCTTTCTTCTTTTTAGTTTTAATTTGAGTTAATCAAGGACTCCTTCATATTTATTAGAAGTATTACTGTAGTTCATGATTCTTCATTATTATCAATATATATTCGCTTAGAGTTAATACAAATATTAAAAAATTAACATGAAAGGTATTATAACTATGTAACATAGTTAAATAAGAAATTAATTTTTATAAACTTATTGGAACTTAAAGTTCTATAATTAGGACTTTCTACTCAAATAAAAAAGATTTAATAACTACAGTTTTAATTAATTTTAAAGTTCTAAATAATTTTTTAAAGGATTCGACCAACATTTGGGATATATATATATATATATATATATATATATATATATATATATATATATATATTCTTCTTACAAGAATCTTCTCTCCCGTCAGAACAAAACCCCTTACTGCATCAAGTTGTCATAGGATTTAGATGTAGCACCCGCAACATCTAAATCTTAGATCCGCCTCTGCTAGTGGACACATTAATCATGGAATAACAATATTATTAAACAATAAAATACAAAACAATAAGTTATGAAATGACGGGTAATAACTAACAATCATCCACTAAAATTATTGTTAATAGACTTAAGCCTGTTATTTCTAAAGTAATCAGCCCAACCAAAACCTGCTACCAACTGGGAAAGAGGGCTTCAGACAATGCTATAATAGTTCAAGATACCGTAACTCATTGTCGAAAAATGAAAGGCAAAAATAGAAATATGCTTTTAAAATTAGATCTTGAAAAGGCTTTTGATCGCCTAGAATGATCCTTTATCCGGAAAACACTTCTTTACTTTAACCTTCCTTATTCAATTATTAAACTAATCATGTCCTGTATTACTGTTACATCCACTTCCATCCTAATTAATGGAACCCGTACTTCCTATTTTCACCCTCTAGAGGCATTCGTCAGGGGACCCTTTGTCACCTTACCTCTTTATCATGTGTATAGAAATTTTCTCGCGTAGTATTAATATTTCAGTGGACTATCTCAATTGGCAACCTATTTGTCTTTCGAAAACTGGTCCTGATCTTTCTCATTTATTCTTTGCAGATGACATAATATTGCTTCTAAAATCACTACAAAAAGTTGTCATGCGTTCATAGACGTTTACTCACCATTCAGGCCAAAAAATTAATTTCCAAAAATCCAAGATCTTTTTTTCAAAAAATTGCTCGCAAGCTAATAAAAATTTGTTCTACAATCATTCCCAATAAAGGAAGGGAACTCTTTTGGAAAATATTTAGGCTTTCCTATATTTCACTCCCGTCCCAAAATGAGTGACTTTCAATTCCTACTGGATAACTTTAGAAATAGGCTAGCTGAATGGAAAACAAAAATCTTGACTATGGCGGAGAGAACTACACTCATCAAATCTAGTGCAATACTCTCCCCAACCATGTCATGCAATATATTCATATTCCAACCAACATCATTAATAAAATGGAACATTATCAATGAAACTTTCTTTGGGGTACCACTACTACGTGGAAAAAACTACATCTCTTACAATGAAAGCAGATTACAACCACTATAGATAGGGGAGTATTGAATATTCAAACACTTAGAACCAAGAATAACGCCTTGCTAGCGAGCCTGGCTCGGCGGATCTTCCAAACACCTCAATATCTTTATTACATAAATACCTCCCTCTCACATGAGTCACTAACCACTCATCAACTTGGCGCAATATTCTAAAAGAATGGAAACTAGATCTCGAGTGGCGAATTGGAACAGGGGACAATATTCACTTATGGACCGACTCCTGGATTAAATCAGGGACGCCTTTGCGATCCCAATTCATAGACCCCTGCCACCGTTTCATCAAACTTTTAAACTCTCTAACATATTAACACCTCATGGATGGAATTGGGCCAATCTACTGTTTGATATTCCTCCCGACATAAAAATGCTATCAATAAGCACTACCTTTCCATATACAAACACCAATTAGACGGACTCTTTTGGGACCTTACAAACAACGGACAGTTTACTGTCCAAACTATATGTATAAGGCCCTAGCAAATAATGACACACAATTTCCTACTACACTCAATTTTTTAAAATGGATTTGGGTATTGCCAATCCAACCAAAAATCAAAACGTTCCTCTGGCTACTCCAACAGAATAGACTACCTACACGCCATTACCTCAATTCTATTGGCATATCAACAGTAGCAAATTGTCCTAACTGTCTGGCTGCAAATGAAACTATAAATCACATCTTTCTAACTTGCACTAACGCTCAGCAATATTGGCATTCTATAGGACTCAATGGTTACATCCGCAACCTTTCAACCATGGATTCACCAAAGCTTTGGCTACATCAACTCATACACTCCAAGGCACTTCAACTCCCTCATAAACTGAACACACGCACTTTCATACCATCGAGTCTTTGGAATATCTAGATTACTCGTAATCGGAATCTCTAAAATCACTAAAAACTAGTCCAAATCTTTTCTTACATCAAACTATTGAGTTTGCTTATATGGCTGCATCACAACCCACGAAACCTAATAAGGCACGTCTAAACCTTAGATGGATACCACCCAAACCAAACTATTACAAATTAAATACGGATGGTGCAACTTCTTGCAACACTCATACAGATGGCATCGGAGGAGTCATTAGAAACCACTTAGGTGCTTGGATAGTGGGCTTTGCTAGCCCAGTCACACACATACATTGTATCACAGCAGAGTTGCAGGCACTCATACGAGGGCTAAGTCTAGCTGTCCAAATGCAATTGTTGCCTCTGGAAGTGGAAATTGATGCACATGAGGTAATCATGCTATTAGCTACGGACAACTTTGGATATACTAATATGATTTCTGATTGCAGGCCCCTCCTCAGGATGCTACATGATCCAGTAGTTCTATATGCGTACGGGGAACAAAATGGGGTAGCAGAACAACTTGCGAAGTTAGGAAGTACAATGCAATGCGATGCTACTCTACAAGTTTTTGTTGAACCACCAATTTTTGTATCAACTCAGCTGCAGGCAGATCAACTAGGAGCCGCTACTCAACTTCTAGTATCTATCCCAGAAGCAAGAGAAGCAGCCTTTCAGAATACCCAACCATGTTTTGTTAGTAACTTGATAGATGCAGACGCCCTTAACACTACTGTTTTGACAAATGATAGGGTAACAACAGCTGCTAGCAGTAATGAGGGTCGTCCACATGTTAGCTTTAGGGACGACGCCTCAAACCTAGCTGATAATATAACTAATGTTATGTATGTACAACGGTGGACGCCGTTGGAATGGATGCATCGGCAATTAATCAACAGTTTTAAACCATGTCAGGTTGATATGGATAATCTCCAAAAAGAACATATGTGATTCTTGCTCCTTTGGTTCCTGGCAACCAAGCTGCAAGCCTGCAACAAATGCATCTACTTGAGCTGGTTCTAATACCATAGGTCTTCCAGAAATTAGAATTGTCACTGTGGGAACTCTGTCAACAACAGAGATTGCAATTTTTGTTCCATTAAATGGAATTTTTAGCTCTGGATCATCACCACCAGTTCAGCAATATGGGACCCTCACCAATGGCCACGATAGCTAAAGAGAAGTTTTCTGGCGTAGGATTTGGCTCAAATACTATCTCCATCTCATTTTCTATCATTTCCCGCAACGCATCCTGTATAGTTGTGTCTAGGAAAAATTAAATCATTTATCCAGTTGAGCTTACAACTTTAATTGCAAATGATAGTCCTTACAAATCTTGATCCACATACTTGAATTACTTTTATTTTTAAGTCTTAACCAGACAAAAGGAAATTGAAATGTTAAAATAGGAAGAGGATGGCAAATACAAGAAGATGCTTAATGAAACATTTTCCTCCTGATGTTTATATAAAACTACTTAATTACCAACTGTGATTCTGCCAATTTTTTGTCCTGTCCATGTAGCAGTCCACCCTCTATACTGGTAACCATGTCATGAGTTCCAGTGACGAGGATCTTTTTGGCATTCCTATCTGGAGGAACAAATTAAATGGTTTCTTGGGATCTTTCCCCTTTTTCAACAAAATTAAGGATTTGCGAACGGATTCATGTGCTACATCTCTATGTGCCTTAAACAATGTGACAAAATAATAATTGACTTAAATCAAAATTCAAATTGATGTTTACTATCAGAAAAAAGTTTTTTAGACTTAGAAGCGTGGAAGTAAGAATACCTCGCAACCAACTAAATCTGTTAGTGTTCTATCTTTAAATGGATGTTCAAACGATCCATCAACAAACTTGTCTCTCAAGATTCTTTCAACAGCATCATTTATCCTGATCATCATATTTTCCCAGATTCTATCAGTGATAGCAGATCCACCAAAAATAATTCATATCTAATTGGAACTATCACTAGCAAATATTTCCAAAATGCTAACGGATCTCATGAATTAGGCTAAAACGTTGTTATTTTTGGCTTCTAATCCTACCTTATCAATTTCAGTATTGATGATTATCTTGATTGAATTACCATAATCTGTTCCATAAGGATCATCAAGTCGGTCAAGCCCTTCCTTCGGTAAAAATTTACCTACACCGGCTGTTTACACAAAACCAATAAAACCAATAGATATATGACATGTGTGGACTTCAATCATTTAACCATAGTAAATTACATGCATTCTCATCTAATTAAATTAATTAACCATAATGAGTTAATATAGTTTGGTGTAAACACCCGGTATGGGTAAGTATTTACCCCTTCCTAGTCTGAAATTACGAGAATTTGCACCAAAATGTTGTTCTGTTATCTTTCTGTATTACAGAAACAAAAATGAAGAAGAAGAAAAAATTCAAGCCTACTGATTTTATAATGTGTCCTTAAAGTTCTTTCTTGGTGTTGAGGTTTAGGATTATTTCCTCCTATTATAAAATGAATTAACTTTACTGGTGTAATGGTACTTCAAACACTAGCGTAAACTCTGAAGTCGACGAAAAATCATACTTACTTTTTATCGTAAAATGATGCACGAAGGAAGAAGAAAATTCAGAATTTTTATAAGAATAATATGAGATAATGGCCAGCTACTTATAGCCGCCAATAGAGAGTTAAAATGAAAAGTTGCAACTTTTTCTTTCACTACAACTCAAAAGTGAATATTTACGAAAATGACTATTTACGAAAGTCGGTTGTCGTCGAAAAACTAAGATGGAGAGAAAACAAATGACCGTTATGAAAATAAAATTAATATTAACAAAATAATCTAATATTTATTGGTCCAAAAGTTTAATCAATTAATTGACCAAATTCAAATCAAAGCCAAGGGACACTAAGTTTGCCTTCCTCTCAACTCTTTAAGAGCTAGAATAAGTATATTTGCATTTAAAACCAACAAAAAAAAATTCTCCTCCAATATGGAAAAAGTTCCTGTGTAAAATAATCTTTTCTTAATTTTTTATTTTCGTCCTTTCTCATTCACACCAACTATCCAATAAAAAATCCAACAAGTTCAAATCTCTTTACCTTGAATCCAAGCTTATCTTTCAATACCTCTGTCAAAAGATATCGATGAGTGTGCATTTTAATTTGTCGCCCCATCTGGAGTAAGATGCCATAACAGTGCAAACTTCTCGTGCGATACAGTTTACATATGGTATATCTGGATATCAAACATTTCTTTAGGCGTTGTGTTACGATCCGGCCGATCGTATCGTATATTTCAGCTCTGTTTTCGTAGTTGATTTTTTTCGTATGTGTATTCGATGTTTGATAATTTGTGGGAATAGATGATTTGGTTTCGGGTAGGTTTGAGAGTGATTTGGAATACGTAGTGGGCGTTTGGACATAAAGATTGTAAAATTCCAAAAAAGTAAAATAAAATTCAAGTGAAAATGGTATTTGAAAATTAGAGTTGTGTTTGGACATGAATAAAATATTGGGTTGTTTTCGAATTTTTGTTAGTGATCTGAGTGAAAAATTTGAAATATAGTTTTTTGGAGTTTTTTAAATTTTCGAAAAAAATCCAAAATTCATCTTCAAGTGAAAAATGAAAATTTTATGGCCAAACACTGATTTCGAAATGAAGTGAAATTTTCGGAAAAAAGTGAAAAGTTCATGTCCAAACGGGCTCTTAGTCTCATTTTGGTAGTTTAAGTTGCAAGAGTTGACCAACACTTGACTTTTAAGTAAACGATCCCAGGTTTATGAATTGATAGTTCCAATAGGTTTATATGGTAATTTTAGACTTCGGCGTATGTTTTGATTTAGATTTGGAGGTTCCTAGAAGGTTTTGTCTCCATTTACCGAAAGTTGACAATTTGAAGAATTGGAGAGTTCATAGGTTTGACCGAAAGTTGACTTTGATGTTACTAGATTTTGAATGGTGTTATGGAACTTTGTATAGATTCATTTAGATGATTGGAACTTGTGCGTTAGGTTTGATTCTGATCCGAATTATCTAAGTATGACTCGGATGTGTTCGGCGAAACTGAAATATTTAAAAGTTAAGAGATAGATTTTGATCTTCGATTCTTGGTTTTGATATTATTTGTAGTGTTTTGAGACTTTGGATAAATTTGAATAAGGTATTCGGACTTGTTGGTATGATTGGACATGAGTGTCACGACCCGAAATCCCAACTGTGGGGCCGTGATGAGCCCTAACACCCATTTATTAGGCAAGTCAATACTAGCTAATTAATTAACCATTTTTAGCAATTTAAAAGCAGAAGTGTAATAATTAACGGGTGATAATTGATTGGATTGGATTTGTCCCAATTGATTGGGATCAATACGGGGAGTTCACAACTCAAATTTGAAATAATTTGGAGTAGATTTAAACTAGATTTGAGTTAAATTTTAGAAGATGCCCAAGAAAGAAGAAGAATCGCTGAAGCTCCATTGATAGGATTCATTTGTATAATAGTGTATAATACTATATAAGTAGTGTATAAACACCTCTTATATATTATTGTATACAAGGTTGATACATTATTTACAAGTATTTGGTGGATTTCTCATATTTCTTCTTCTTCTTCTACTACTACTATACTATAAACATGGTCTGAAATAAATATAACTGTCTGAAACTAGAATAAGAGTAAAACAAGATAGAAGGGGACTTTAGGGATTCGGGACGCCAAGCAGCTCTACCTTAAGTCTTCTGGGCAAGTTGGATCTGAGCGAACTCCTCTACGCACCGCTGGGACTAATATCAGGATCTGCACAAGAAATGCAGAAGTATAGTATGAGTACAACCGACCCCATGTACTATGTAAGTGTCGAGACTAACCTCGACGAAGTAGTGACGAGGCTAAGATAAGACGCCTACTATAAACCTGTACTAGTAGTAATAAAAGAAGGCTAATATATATATATATATATATATATATATATATATATATATATATATATATATATATATATATAAAGTAGTAAACTCAACGGGCCCGAAGGTCAATTAATAAAGGGCCCCAGAAAAAAATCATCTCATAACCTCATATCACAGTACTGAGAATCTGAGATAAAATACTACAGCTACAGGCAACTACAACACATAATAGGCGCGCAACCTGATGCCAACATACATCAAAATATCTATTGCGACGTGCAACCCGATCCCAATATCATTTTACAAAATCTGTTGTGCTATGCAATTCGATCCTAATATTATATTAATATCTGTTGCGGCGTGCAATTCATTCTCAATATCAACTCATTAACATGAACAACTCAACACAACCAAATCCAGTAATCTCATCACAAAAGGAAACAAAGCGTATATAACATCAAGGAACTATCAATACAAATAGAGAATAACCAATACCTCACAAACCTCTATAATTTATAAATACGAGAATAGCAAAAAGACTCACATAATCAGAATAACATAATGAAGTGCAACGAGTGATGTAAAGATAAAAACAAGTAAAAATAGATAACGAAGATATACAACTAATACATGTAGGAATATATAGAAAGTAAACATGTATTGAGTGAAAATGAACAAATCGAAACATGTAACAATTAAATAACAGACAACAAGTAAGGCATGAATAATAAGTAAGGACATGTATCAATTAAAGCATGTAACGAAATATAATATGGAATAAATAACAACATAAAGGTAAATAGCCCAATCCGCATACTTTAACCCATGACAACGCATATACACTCGTCACCTCAATATACACAAATCATACAATTTATATAAATGTATAGGTATGTACATAATGATTTTCGTTTTTGATTTTTTCTTCAAATATTATTCTATCCAAACTTGACAACCTTTTTTTATGAAACATTTTACATTATTTTAAAACTATTTTACTTGGCTCTTTGTTGTCGACCTACATAGCTGTTGCTGCTTCTTATTCTTCTTATTCTTTCTCTTATTATTTATTTTATATTAGTTTCCTTTCATAGTTTTGTAACTTTTTATATTGAAATTATTAAATTAATTTAGTTGATAGTTCTCTTATGTTATTTTTTATTTACAGCTAGCGCAAGTTAAATTATGAGTTTAACTTTAATATAAATCAAATTGATGTTTGTTCCGGTTTTCTAAAATAACTTTTATTAAATTTTAAAATTTATAAGATAAATAGAACTATTGATAAAATATAGGTAAATGTTTAAAAGAAAAAAAAAACAAGACGACTTCGAAACAAAATAAAAAGTAGTGGGTTTCGTTAACAACCAAAATAAACGGAGCAAGGTAAAATTTGTATGTTAACTTGGTGTCGCTTTTAATGTCAACTACTGTCGAGGACTTAGTATATTTTTGAACCCACTTGCATAAAGTCCTGGGTCCGTCAATGGGCTTCCTGAAGAATTAACTCACGTAACCCATCCATATTGGACACACAAAACCGTCCCTACATCCGCAACACTCCGTCATCTCGGATAGAAATCTCCTTGGTATCGACGTTCTGTACCGTGTCCTTTAGGACAAGTAAATGTGGGTCGTCATACTGACACTCTCTGATACGATCATATAGAGAAGAGCGAGAAATCACGCAAGCTAGAACCCGACTGGGCTCCGAAACATCCAACCTATCAAACTGGTTGGCCAAGGCCTAAACATCCAATGCTAATAGCCTCTCCGCTGCTGGTAGATATGCTAAACTACTCAAGCTCTCCACCTTTCGACTCAAGGCATTAGACACCACATTGGCCTTTCCGAGATGATATAGAATGGTGATATCATAGTCTTTAAGAAACTCTAACCATCTCCGTTGCCGCAAGTTAAGATCTTTCTATTTGAATAGATGTTGTAGACTCTGGTGGTCGGTATAGACCTCACAAGGGACACCGTACAAATAGTGCCACCAATTCGTCAAGGCATGAACAATAGCTTCCAATTTTAAGTCGTGGACCAAATAATTCTTCTGATGGACCTTCAATTGCCGAGACACGTAGGCAATCACCCTACTATCTGGCATCAACACCGCGCCAAGGCCAACACGTGACGCATCACAATACACACTGTAAGACCTCGAACCCGTAGGTAACACCAACACTGGGGCTGTTGTCAAAGTAGTCTTGAGATTTTTAAAGCTCTCCTCACTCTCCTCGAACCATCTGAAAAGAGCACCCTTCTGGGTCAATCTGGTCATAGGTGCAGCAATAAATGATAAACCCTCTACAAAATGACGGTAATACCCCGCCAAACCAAGAAAACACCGTATCTCAGTAGAAGAAGACGGTCTATGCCAACTCTGCACTACTTCAATCTTTTTCGGATCTACCTTGATCCTCCCACTCGACACCACATGACCCAAAAGTGTCACGACCCCAACCCCGATCGTGATGGTGCCCAACACACTGCTAGGCAAGCCCGACCAATTCAACAACCTTAACCCTTTTTATACAGTTCATGATTCAATTAACACAAATAATTACTAAGTCATAATACTGAAACTCTGAAATATAATTAAAACATGCGGAAAACCCAAGTAGAAATACTACTACACAGCCCGAAGAATCCGGTGTCACAAGTCTGAGCCTCTAATACACGGGTGTCAACCTACTACATATTGCTCTAAAGAAATGCNNNCTCGTATTGATACTGTTCAGGCTTTCAGGCCTTGTTGATAGCGCTTGGGCTGTAGGAGCCCCTCCGGAGTCTGCACACCCACAGTGAGCGCGGGTACCCATCTAGAGTGATTTAATATTGAACAGTGGTAACAATGACACTGTTAAATGTGATTGGTCAGGTAACAATGACTGACCAGTCAGGTAACTATGATTGACCAGTGGTAACAATGACACTGGAGTACGCGTTGGTCAGGTAACAATGGCTGACCGGTCAGGTAGCAATGGCTGACTTATTGAGTATAATTGATGTTTAACTGTTTTCAAAAAGGTTTTTCTTATTATTTTTCACTGGTTTCTACTATTATTCTGGAGTTGCTGCTTGAGATAGCATTATTGTGCCCTTGTGGGATTTTATGTTCTCAGTCGTTATTTATTTTTATTGCTCACTGGGTCGGAGTACTCACATTACTTCCTGCACCATGTGTGCAGAGACAGGCACCGCTGAGTTCGTACCTGAGCGCTGATTTCCTTCCAGACCAGGCGGACCGGGAGAGACGAGATAGCTGACGACGTCCACAGCCCCGTTTCTTCCTTATCTTCTGCATATTTTATTCATCTTCAGACTATGTTTTCCAGACTTGTAGTATATTTTTCATCAACTCTGTAGTAGCTCGTGACTTGTGACACCCCGATCATCGGGCTGAGTTTGGGATGGTTGTCTCCCGT